TAAAACAGCATAATAGACTTGAGCCTTGTCTTGTTGACCTCTGTAACAAGGTCAAGAGAGCAGACTTCAGCATCAGGCCACCTGGTTAGACATTTTCTAGGTGAGTAGCATCAGCAACCTCTCCATGCTTTCTTTTCTTCATCTATAAATCATAATAGCATCTTCTTTGCATGTTTATAGTGAGTGTTCGAGGAAATATTACCAATGAAGCATTTTATATAGTGCCTAGTATCATGATGGGTCTTAGTAATTGCCTACTGAGGAAAAACAGTTGTGGTAGAGCAAAACAGAATTTTTTTCTTCTGTGGCTAAAACACGTGACTGGCAAAGACCACAGTAGAATGGGCACTATCCTTTTTCACATTTTCGAACCAGAACAATCATTTCCTTAGCCATGTGTGTGCCTGTGTGTGCGCACCTTGCAGAGCATTTGGTCCTGTCCACAACGTCCATGGAGACATTCTGTCCAGTTAGTAAAAACCCCATTCCCACCTGTCTAAACCCATGTGCCATTTATTACCCGCTAGGCTACTGAGTTAATAAGGGTTTTTATTGGCAATACAGCCAGAATGCACGTACTGGACCAATAAAACATAGTAGTACTTTTTAATGTATTAATCCTGTAAACCCTTTTTGCAGGATTAATAAGTGGGTTAATCCTCTATACCCAAAGTAGAAATAAATGTTATGGTATAGTTGAATCTAGGGACATCTTCCAGACAGTATGGACAGGACCGAGTGTCAAATACCTTTTCATGTGAACCAAATGTCTCCATAGACATTTTTGGCAGGACCGAATTTTAAGGACATTTGGGCAGGAACCAAATGACTCCGTAGAGGTTTTGGACAGGACTAAATATCTTCTAATTTGTGTATGTGTGTATGTGTTCGTTTGTGTGTTTGTGTGTTTAATGGGAAAGATCATATGTGCTGATACAAATGCATGTGTTGATTATTGGTTTTGAAATATTTTGATAGCATGGAATAGAGGAAAGGAAGATTATAGTCAGATGTTTTGGGCAACAGTTTTTTTTTCTCTTTATTTTTAGATTTTGTGAACATTTAAGAGCAACTTTTTGCAGTGTTTGAAACATTTAGCAGAACCCCAATCAGCCACCACATCTTCAATGAAGTCTTCTCTGAATTACTAATTTTGTCTGCACATATCTATTTAGAAAATATTTCTCCCCTAGCTTTTCTTTCACTCAAGCTGTGGCATATATTTTTTGAAATATAATTATACTTGTATAATGAGTATAAATAAGTCATTAAGATTCACAAACATAATGCATAATTAATTGATGTGATTACAGTAAGAAATGAGCACATATAATACATATTTGTATATAAATTTATTCAACCACATAGGCACTGCAAACATTAGAGTTAGTTAAGGTAGAGAGTTGTAAACCCACTTATTAATGCCTACAACCATACACAAGATATTACCAATGAAGAACTTCCTCATTCTAACTCTGCAAGTATACAAAAAATTAGTAGTTTTGTAGGTGCCTTCTAATTTAAACAAATTTATAAAAAAGTATGATGATTTTGAGCAAGGAGGTAATACCTTAATTTTAGCCTGAGATTATTGCCAAATTCTAAAATAGTTGGTAATTTCCTCATGATTTCCATTCTAATATTTATTTAAGTACAAATTATATTTCTTTCTTAAAGATATATGTATATCAAGGTAGTTTGGTAATTTTTAAGTAACCCTTTTTTTGTAAATCAACAAATGAATTTCTACATTCATTTTTTCATTCAGTCATCTGTTCAAATATCTACTAGGTACTTGTGATGTGCTCGTGTGTGTGTCCAAATATATGTATGTGTATTAAAAGGTCTGGCTTCATAATGGTGAATATGGATAATATGATAAATATTTATCATATTATTTTTTTCTTGCTTAAAACAATGAAATAAAACAGACCACTTAACACTTCACATCTAAAATCAATTTTTTCTGTAAATACAAATAACTCTTTTAAAAGAGTCATTAGATCATCTTGTAGAGTTTCTTAAACTTTAACAGGACAGACACTTAGGCAAATGAATCATTTCTGTAGTTTCCCAAAGTTTAAAAGGTTTACAGGAATCAAAGGCTATGCTTTTTCCACCTTATGTTATGTTGGCTTACATATGCAAGTCTGGAATGGCCCATTCTCTCAAGACAAACAATTAAGTTTCTCATCCAAAATGTTGAGTACTTGAGACTTTCCATGTTTCTGCTATGGTTTCCTGACTCATACACCTCTTCTTCTGGAAGAAGGAAAGACATTGCCTTACTAATAACAGTTATATCAAACTGACTTATTTGACATTGCCTATTGGATGGCTAGAATAATGCCCTTATGTACTTGACCCCATTACTAGATAGCTGACACCACCTGAGCCAGGGGCCCACCTGCTCCCTTCTTTTTAGCTAAGGCTCTGCTACCACTTCCTAAAATAATTCCCTGGATCCACTATGACATGTCTCTTGCCTGCTGCCAGAAAGATAAGCATTCCAAGGCCTGTCTAGACTTCTATCTGTCATTAGTCTAATGCACCCTGGAAAATATATCCCTCTTTCCAGCTTAGTTGGACCCTGGTTTTGACATTTTATTAAAATATCATAGATGCAATCAAAGGTAAAAGATTATCACATACTATGTAACTTTGGGATAAATGTATGGGGGGGGGCGGGGTGTTAAGGCTTAGGTTATAGTGTCAGTCTGCCAGATTGACACCAAGCACCACTACTTCCTAGCAGAGTGACTTTGGCAAAATTGCCTAAATATTCTGTATTTCAGTTTTCTCATTGTTAGAAGAGATGTATAACAAAAACATTTACTTGATAGGATTAAATGTGCTTAAATACTGCCTGTACATAATAAAGGTTCAGTAACTCTTAGGGTTGTTATTATGTCCAGGGGTAATATTCAAAATATTTAACAACTGGCATGATAAGAATGTGTTTACTAGGTTCCCAAGGTTACTGCCAAGGGTACCATCTCATCTTTTATTAATAAATATTAATCCTTAGTTATTTGTTACCTAGAATCCCACACAGCATTTGGATATATTTTCTTTGAACCCTGTTTTTCCCATTATGTAAAATAACAGTTCTGCAATACTATGCAATACTGTGCATGGTTAGATAATTTCTTTTTAAATTTTGGAGAAAATGATGTGATATTCAACTCAGAAAGCACACATTTGGTTGTAGAGTGCCAAGACTTGTACATACTCAGAACAAGCATTCATAATAACCTCTGGAAGTGATAAGAGATGATCTCAGAACAAAAACTCTGAATGGAAATGCATTGTTTCCTGCTTCAATGCATTTGTGCCCTGGGATAACCAGAAATAATTATTGGAACAAGCCTCTTGTTAATAATAATTACACTTCGTTCTATGAAAACAAGAACAAACAGCAATTATCTATAATTTCTCATTTGCAAAACATTCTCATTATGCTAAGACTTCTTGTCTGTTTTTGATATTATGTTCTGTGCATTGGGAAAAACTCTACAGTTTTGAGTTGTTATTTTCAAATGTTTCAAACTCGACTGGACGAAGCCTGATGCAGGCTTAAATGATTCCTGTTTTAAGACTGAACAGCTTCTTTGGGTAGCTAGTTAGTGAGGAAATGGTCCTTTGGATTCCTTCAAAGAAGACAGGTTCATTAACCAAAATAAATGCACATTGTTTCTATATTAGCAAAAATTGGTTTAGGAAAAGAGACATAGAAATTAGCCTCATTGTCATTATGATTACAATAGATTCTTAGAAACTTAATATATATAAATGAGGAAGTATTTTTATTTTGCTACCTTATTACATGCTAATGTTTTCTTATATTACTTCTTTGAATAATTCTTAATCTTTTTTGTGTCAATAATTTTGTGTTTAGTATGAATATAGTAATTTTCATTTTTCTCCTATTTATGTGCATTGTTGCATATATCTTGATAGAATATAAGCTCTTTAGGGAAATAATAATTTAATTCCAGTTTGCTTCTACTATATTATTCAAATTAGTGGTTTGATAGGAGCTAAAAACTTTTATAACATGAGTGGCTATTTATCAAACAACCACTTGGTTCAGTGGATTGATAATTTTACCATACTGAGCACTAGTTTCCTCATCTCTAATTAAATGATAACAATACCCAATTCATATGGTTTCTGAGAGGCTTGAGTAAAATTAGGTGTGCGAAGCATTTGCCATATTATCTGGTAAAAAATTAAGTTCTTAATACATGACATGGTTTTATTATCACAACTGGAGGGTTAAACCTAAGTCACATTCTCCAATTTTATTTTTCTGGAAGACTAAATTGAATTAATTCTACTTGGTCCAATCTAAGGCAGATAGGGCCAACAAAGTTTCTTAAACAAGTTTTGGTTGCCTAAGTAGCACTATATAGACACATTTCCCATTTGAAAGTGACTTCAGATTTGAGAAAATGGAGTCAAAATATGCTATTGGAATTATGGGTCAGGATTTCTATCTTAAAGCTATGTTAATTCTTTGAAGAATGATGCAAGTTTTGGGCTATTTTACATGGTCCACACTGTTGACCTTCAGTCTTGATATCTGTCAAAATAAAAATGTTGTATGTTGAGCTCTGAGTGAACCATATTTGTGTTCTCCCTGGAATTTAATTTCCAGAGCCAAATAACCTCAGGTAGTTTTCCAACTGATCAAAATAATTTTCAATAGTGTTGACATGCTACCCAATTTGAAGGTGAGGTACTAACTAAAATAAAGCTAGCCAATATATTTGTCACCTATTGAGTTCCTGAAAAACAAAATGGTCTTTTAAATTTTTTTCTGTAACAAACCATTTTTTTTAAAAGGAAAATAGGAGTTTGAATTATATATATACACATATTTAAATTTCTATAAAATGTTTTCAAAGTTTAGAAACAATAATTTGCTTTACTTAAAAGCTTTGTAGCCTCATCAAAGAAAAAAGTGTGTGTGCGTTGAGAAAGCAAAGGTTAAGACATATGTTTTTCTACTCACATAAAGAGTACATAACATTCCCTCAGACGAGCTGAGAGTAGAGAGGCCGGGCTTCCTTCCCCATGGGAGAGGTGGTTAAGAAAGGAGCCTCACCTAGACTGCCCTTGCCTCACATTAAAAAAAATAAATAAATAAAGAGTACCTAGGCTTAAAAAATAAATACAAGTGAGTTTGTAAACTACCATATTAGTGACCATAATTATTGGGTGTGTGGTGGGGATGAAGAATTTTGCACTAATAAATGTGAATTATAGACAGATGTAGCAATATAACTCTACTATTATGCTGTTACATATTCATCGTGGCGCCCTATTGGGGTTCTGCTTTTAGAGATAGTACAGGTCTCAATTATATACGCTTATCTGTAGAGTAATAATCCCACTGAAACATCATGGCTGGTGTTCCAACTGGAGAATTTGGAAGTTTGCTTTCAGTACTCAGATGGCCTCTCCCATCCTCCATGGGAAAAGTTGCTTCCCGGCCACAGCCTGAACAGAGGTAGTCTTGGGGGATTGATACTGACTCAAACACGGCTCAGACCTTCAGGATGTTGAGGGCAGGTATCCTACACCTCATCTCATACAAGCCTTGCAAAAAGCCCAATGACTTATAAGCAACTTCAGGTGCTGCTGTCATCCTCATTTTACAGAAAACCATGCTGCTTCTATTATATTGGTCACCACAAGGTTGACCAGACATATGACTGTATTAGTCACTTTGTCTGTGGTTTCCACCCTCCAATTCCTTATGGCCAAAGCAGGGCTCTTCTCCAACCGCAGGGGGGAATATATATAAAAAATACAATTCCAGGCATTAGTGTATTACTGGTACATTTGCCTCAAGGGTGAAAAGAAACCAGAGCAAAAACCCACCTAAGGATCTGGGAGTGTTTCTATTTCTGCTTTCTCTCTCTGGCCTGTGTTTTCTGTCCCCGAACTTAAGCTGTCAAAGTAAATCTGGACAATTTGGAAAATAGAGGACAGTCCTGAAACTGGAGATAAGTTGAAAACTTATGAAAAGTTAACCTCTAATGCAGTTTGATAAATTTAAATAAGCTTAAGTATAAATTGGAGTCACATGTCTAGTTCTCAGCCATGATTTTGTAGTATTCAGCTAGGGAAGAAATTTCATAAATTGGGAAAAGATGTAGTCAGTCCAATTAATAGTCCTGCTAATGACATATAGTAATCCTTAAACTTGTTCTCTGATTAAAATGACTAGGAAGTCTTATAAAATATGGAGTGACATATTTGCCAGTCTCACATTCGTTTGTCCTTGTTTTCCTTGACCACAACTCAGCCTGATATTTGGTAGCCAGAGCCATTGTGAGGCCTGAGATAAGGTAGTCCCTGGGGAACAACAACTAAATAGTAATTGAAACTCAAATTCTTTATATGAATTATGTCAGTAGCCAACACCTCTTATTAAATCTATGCATAAGGTAATATGGTTATCTCTACTTTCAGACTAGAGTTTAATGATCTTCACATCATATAAATTATAGATGTAGGATTTGGATTTAAACCCAAACAGGCTGACTCCAGAGTCCATGATCTTAAACTTTATATCACCTTGCCCTGGTAGGAAGGTTGAGGCTGACTAACTCACTGATGATGGGTTTATCCTCCCTTTGGAACTTACAATGACCTATTAATTGGGTGTTAAGGTCAGCCTTTTTGTGTTTTTCAAGATATCCCATTCTACCTTTAACATCTGCTATTCAGATTTCTGTCAAACTATCATTTATGAATGTGTGTATATCAATACATATGTGTGTATATATGTATTGTACATATTTCTATATTAGCATATAGTAATATGCTAATTAGACCAAACAGCTGAATGACCTTCTGGACATCATTCTGGACGTCCTTCCTGACGAAGCCATGGTGACAGAGGCCAAAGCAGAGGCGGTTAGGGGTGATTAGGAAGGCAGGTGAGACGTTACGGGTGATCAGGCAGGCAGACAAGTGGTTAGGGGCCATTAGGCAGGCAGACAAGCGAGCAGTTAGGAGCCAGTGGTCCCGGATTGTGAGAAGGTGCAGGCGGGGCTGAGGGACCACCCCCATGTGTGCGAATTCTGTGCACCAGGCCTCTAGTATGTATGTATGTATGTGTGAATCGGGCAGTCGGAAATCACTCTCACAATCCGGGACTGCTGGCTCCCAACTGCTCGCCTGCCTGATCATCCCCTAACCACTCCCCTGCCAGCCCGATTGCCCCTAATTGCCCTCCCTTGCCAGCCTGGTCGCCCCTAACTGCCCTCCCTGCAGTCTTGGATCCCCCCAACTGCCCTCTCCTGCAGGCCTAATTGCCTCCAACTGCCCTCCCCTGCAGGCCTAATCGCCCCCAACTGCCCTCCCTTTCAGGCCTGGTCCCTCCCAACTGCCCTCCTCTGCTGGCCTGATCACCCACAACTGCCCTCCCCTGCCGGCCATCTTGTGGCAGCCATCTTGTGTTTACATGGGGTCGGCCATCTGTTACCGCATGGGGGTGGCCATCTTGTGTGTTGGAGTGATGGTCAATTTGCATATTACCTTTTTATTAGATAGGGTGGACATTTAGACTGTTTCCATATCTTGGCTATTCTATATAATAAAAGCCTAACATGTAAATTGTCCCCTCAGGTGGTCATTAAGGAGATTGGGAGTTCGACTGGTCGCTATGACATGCGCTGACCACCAGGGGGCGGCATGTAACATGGTGAGCGTCAGCAATGCAGCACTGGCAGTGGGCACTCAGGTGCTGGGTGCCTGCAAGGAGCCCGCTCACACCCTTGCGGCCTCTATCAGATGAGCCGGGCCACAGCTGTAGGGACCACAGAGGCCAGTCAGCTCCCCGTGGGTTTGCACAGGAGCCAGTTTGCAAGGCCGGCTGGGAGAGAGCATGCTGCCTGCCTGGCTTCTGTGTGGCACCACTGGGCAGCCCAGAGTCCCACGATGTACCCTGGCCTGTGGCGTCCGGCCGCACTCACAGCATCTCCACATGGGGATGCGGGTGCCATGACTCAGGCCGAGGGGGACATGCAGGGGCCTGGGGGCCCAGGTGCTTCCCAGGGCCCAGAGGTCAGCTGGGACCTGCCCTTCCACACCAGATGCTCACACTTTGATCACTGGCCAGGCCTAGGGACTGCACCTGTGCATGAATTTCATGCACCGGGCCTCTAGTTACAAATAATATTGTAATGAACATGGAGGTGGGTATATCTTTTTGAGTTAGTGTTTACATTTCTCTAGATAAAAACTCAGAAGTGAAATTGTTGGATCATATGGTAATAGTTCTATTTTTAATTTTTTTTTTTAGGACACTCTACTGTTTTCCATAGTGGCTACACCAATTTGCATTCCCACCAACATTGCACAGAGGTTCCCTTTTCTCCACATCCTTGCCAGCTTTTTTATCTCTTGTCTTTTTGATGATAGAGATTCTAACAGATGTGAGGTGATACCTCATTGTGGTTTGATTTGCATTTCCCTGATGATTAGTGATGTTGAGTACATTCTCATGTACCTATTGACCATCTGCATGTCTTCTTTGGGCAAATGCCTATTCAGATTCTATGTCTATGTTTTATTAGGATTTTTTTTGCTATTGAGTTCTACCTTTTCTTAATCTAAGTACTTTTTCATTTTTTTAAAGCAACAGTGTCCTGATAGATACTTGGAAATTAAGGACCTTCTTAGTTTGATTATCCTATGACTTTCTTGTACAGATAGACATTTGAAGTTTAATTTAAAATATACAGTAGTGGACTTATGCACAATAAAATATTTTTCACAGCAGCAATTATCTTGCTTTTAGAGCTTTATACCTTTAAGCTAACAGACAGTCTAAGTTTGTTTAATCTTAATTAAACTTTTCTCTCAAAATTAACTTGCTTGGCTGGCAAATGAGTCCAAATGGTTTTTCCCTTTGGACTCATACATACGTGAATTAAAATGTTGGATGTTTTGAATCCTTAAAGGGTAAAACACTTAAGCAGACAGTGTAGTTATACAATAATATCCATTCATCTGTATATTTCCTAGAGTAAGATGTTTTTATTACTTGGTGGTATCTTTGTATAGAAAGCAGAATAGCCTGTTGATACTCAGGAAAGGTATGGGTTACACTGGCCAAAACATTATTTTATTGCTTTGATATTAATTTACATTTCTGGCTTACTTTACATTTCATAATTATATGGCATAACTTTACTGTTAAAATATTGGTTGTGAAAGGAAACAGAGCAGACCAATAAGAGCACAAATGTAAGTGCTTAACACTACTTACTGAAACTAGAAATTTGTGATACTATTCCATTTCTCTGAAACAAAACTGTAGCTTCCAGAATTGTATTGGGTAAATCTCTGTTACAGACCTACCATTCCACACTAGTTCATCTGTCTGACTCTCACTGTGACACTTTCACGATGACATCCTTGTGTCCCTAAAATTTAGCTCAATGAAGTTATAAAGTTGCTATTAAATAAGTATTAATGAATGGATAAATGTGTTTGTACATTTGATGAAAGTTACTAAAGCTACACATGTTGAGTTTTACTTCATCATTTTATGATTATATTGATTATCTGAATAAGACATGTTACCCCAGACATACCACAATAAACAGTGATTAAAGAATGTTGATGCTGTTCATGACTTAAGGCTGATATTTTTTTCTTTGTTCCTGAAAAATCGTTTAACATAACCAACAGATTTACTGCATGAAATTCCACCAATACTTCCAAAGAAAGTATAGAGAATTTAACAAAATCATTTTAAATCATTGGGAAATAAAAAATCATATAAGAGCAGCAAACTTTATATATGTTGTTGACATTGCATCAAATACATACGTCAGTTTCTCAGGATTAATAGCTGGGTAATGTCAAGTTAGACTATCCAGGAATATGCATGCCTCCCAATTTGTTAATTTTTAAAAATAACCTGTAGTACAGCTTTTGTGTTGCCTCCATATAGGCCTTGGCTACCTACTAATTTTGCCAGTGGTATTTTGTGTAATTTTTTGCTATTGTTGATGGTATTTCTTTTATTTTCTAAATACTATTTCTAGTATGCAATAAAGTAAATTATTTTGGTATAATTTTTGGTAACCAGATATCTTAGTAAACTTT